TCCCTTTGCTCTCAGTGCTTCCTCTACCTTCCTTGGGTACAACACCAACTAATGAGATCCCACCCACATTTCAAGGATTATCTGCAATGGTCTCTTAAAACCAAAACCAAAAACCAAACCAAACCAAACCAAAACAAACCAAACCACGATTCCCTACTCCAAGAACTGAATGAACTTTCTCTTATCTCTGAGCAATTATCAGGGATACAATATCTTGAGGTATATACATTTTGTTAAAACTTATACGAGTACATTTTTAATATGTGCGTTATACCTCTATAAACCAACCCAGTAGAAACATGATGAGAAGACCTCAGTCTTTGAAGAGAGGAAGACTTGGTTCAAATTCAAGTTCTGATACTTTCTAGCTGGCAGGTCATTGAACCGCTTTCACCTGCAGTTTCCTCCTATATAACTGGGGTATGATTGTCTCTTTTTCCTCTTGTAGTGAGAGTTTGGAGACATAAAAATAATATAAAAATGTCTTGCAAAGAGCTTGCAAACATTTTATGCTACATGACTATTAGGACGTTCTATGTTTTCACACACCCCTGTCCAACACAGGGTAATGTTGAGAAAAGAATTGTCTTTTTCTTTTCCATGTGTCTAGCATAGAGTAGAAGTGGTGTGTTTAGCTATAAAAAGACCTTTTTATAGAAGTGGTGTGTTTAGCTATAAAAAGACCTTTATATAGAAGTGGTGTATTTAGCTATAAAAAGACTTTTAGATAGCAAACACCTAGAGGCATCCCAACTTATTAAGCCTCCTCTGCAGGATGATACCTGGGTTTGCTAAGGCTCAGTATTCTAAAGTGTGACAGATACTTTATCTGGTTGATAATTTGGCTGTGGCTCCCCAGTGTACAGTGGGGCTTAATAACATATCTTTCATTATGATAGTTCTTTAGGATAACAAGGGTTGTCTGTTTCACTTTAAAGCAATGGAATGACTATACTGTTCTCTTGCCCAATAAGTCACTCAGTTTTCCATGGTTCAAAGTTAAGCTTTTATTTGGTTTTAAATTAAAAAAATAAATTTCATTATTAAATAGTGAGATGGAGCTAACTAATGTTCAGATAGTAGCTTACTTAGGAATATACCACCGGGGTTACAATTAAAGTGTGGATCACCTAAACTAAAATTATTTTTTATGTTGTCCTGTCTGTTAAAAGTTAAACAGTGGCATAATTCAAAAGAAAATGAGATACAAAGTTTTAAATGTTTACAACAAATGGGAGAAGTAAACCACTTATTCTACTGCAATTGCAAACAAATTTCTTTCTCAATGCCCGTTAGTTTGGACACTATACCACAGTGCTAATGTCATCGGCTTCGTCTGCTTTCTTTTGCCTGCTTGGCAGGGATTTCAAGTATTCAAGGTGTCTCCGGGCATCCTCTTGATTTTGCCTCACATAATATACCACATATGAGATCACCATGGTGAACCAGCCAAACATGGTGACTAGCATGGCATAATCGGTAGTTTTTTTAGGGAGGTTACAAAGGTCAGCATCATTGGCAGCATTGAGGAATGGTCTTCCGGCGTGTTCATCCAATACGGAAGTCTTACAGATCACATTGTGGGCTGTCTCGTGATTGGACGCCATGCTCCTCAGAACTTGCTGGAGAGTACAGTCGCAGTGCCAGGGGTTGTTGGCGATTCTGGCCCTGGCCTTCAGATTATTAAAGGCATTTTTGTGCACGCTCTGAATCCGGTTGTCAGACAAGTCCAGAGTCTGCAAAGTTTCAGCTACTCCTTTGAAGGCGTGCTCATCGATAAACTCAATGCCATTTTTGGACAGGTTGAGAACTCTCAGTTGATGGAGGTCCTTAAAAATCTCATTGGGGATAGATGTGATCTGATTGGAGTCCAGATACAATAAGACTGTTTCAGGAGGAAGATCTCTAGGTATTTCCTTAAGATTTGCATTGCTGCAGGTGACATTTAAACCCCCAGAGGAAGAACAAAGACAGCCCTTGGGACACATACTGGCAGAATGAAAGCACAGTATCATAAGAACAAAACTTTGTAGGAGGAGACACATGGAGAGGGAACGGGTTAACCACAGGTCTACCAGATTCATGCTGGAATGTCAGCATAATCACAAACCCATTCCTCATTTACTCCAACAAGCAAGCGTAGCAACGGTTCCTGCCCTGTCCACACCGTTGATTCCCTTCTTGCGTGGTTCAGAAGGCTGCAACTAATACACGTGTCTCTTTATTGTTTCTGTCCTTGCTTGGGTACCTAAAAGAAAGGGAAGCAGGTGCAATTAGCTCTGTTGCAAAGGGAGGCACATTGCAATTAAAAGTGCCCTTAGGCGTCTGGCATCCTGTGGAGGAGTAGAGTTGGCTATGCAGGTAATTTCCACCAATACCACTGGGAGTTACCTGTGTAATGGGAGTCTCCCGTTCAAGTCCCAGGTGCTAGGGTAGAAAACTGTCAATAAATGACAACATTTCCGAATTATATTGCCTTGTTTCAGTTGTACAGAATTAGAGCAAACAGTTCAGATTTCTCTCATGTCTCCTGTTTCTTCTCCGCATCTTGAACACATTCTAAATTCTACGGCAATAAAATTCAATTTCACCTTTTTCTTTTCTTACAATAACAGATGCATTAATGCAATTTAACCCTGCACTTGGGCAGCAATGAGAAATAACACTAACATTTCACAGGTAATGACCATAGATAGCAATATCCGTCACGGCTTTTGAATGAATTTCCAATTGGGAATATTTCCTTTAGAGAAACATCTTACTTGAATTAAAAAATGAATGAATGCATTCCAGCCTTCACAACAAAATGTTGCTAGGGACTGATAGCCCAGAATTTCCAAAAGAGTTGCCTCCCATGTGACCTCCTGAGATTACATTATACCTGGGAAGATGCCCTTAACTGAATTTCCAAAGGATTCTGTTTTCTAAATGACAATTACCCTCCCCAATAGATCTTCAAATGTGACACATACCTCCAAGCATTTTTTAAAATATAAGATGAGAAATAAGAAATACTAGTTTCTAAGTCTTCCCCAATAACCTATTTTTTCTTTCTAATCATATATACATATATATGTGTGTATATGTACATATACACGCATACATATATATATATAAAATTAATGTTGGAAGGAGCCTCAGAAATTGTAAAATTTAAGTAATATGAGCAAAAGTTATGAGCTTACTCAAAAACAGAAATGAAAACATAAATTAACCCTCAAAACTACTCTCTCACATAGAAAAGAGAGGACATGCATCTTTGGGGCCGATTTGCAGAGGAGGTGAGTGGATCTTGGAGAGATTAGGTGACTTGCCCAAGGTCAAATAGTGTGTAGGTGGTAGAGACAGGACTCAAGCCAACGACTTTGTTCTGACTCATTAATCTTGCAACTCTTTCTGCTACCCCCACAGCTCTCTCCCAGTTCCATCTGCTATATGAGGACAGTCAGGATCCAGGGAGCATTGCTTGTAATTTCTGATGCTGTTATGTTGCAGCTCAGTCCCAAATGGAGGACCCCTTGGAGGTACATGGAGGGGGCTCTCTGCATTGTGGAGGGACTCCATGGCTGACCTCAGAGGATTCTCTCTTAAGACTGGAGAAACATTCATTCGTTTTACAGCAATGAGCAACAAATGTCTTTCTGTATGAGCAACAAATGACTTTCTGCAAACTTATCTTTTCTAAAGATCCCAGATGGATAAATACAGAGGGAAATGACTCCAAATGTTACCAAACTCACAGAAGAGAAGATTAATGTGAGCTGAAAACATAATGAACTGGGTTGTTAATCATAGAAAAAATGAGATTAGCAACAGCAGAATGGAGTGAATGTGCTTTTGGAATCTCGAGTCCCTTAAATGCCAGAGAATGCTGAAGAAAGACCCCCTAGGCTTACTAAGACATCCATCAATAGCTCATTTCATTTTCAGTGAAAATTTCCCTCCCTTCCATTTTTTCCCTCAAAAGTGCATGGCATGGTATTTAGAGAATCTAGTAATTGTCTAGATGGGAGAGAAAGAAAAAATTAACCAGTGAGGAGGGGAGGACACTCAATGAAGAAAGAAGGCAGAAGGACAAGGCAAAGGATGCGAGAAAGAGGACATGAGAAGGACACAGGAGATGGGAGAAATGAATGTGATTAGAGAAAATAAAAGGTGCCCATGTTATCAAGAGACTTCCATCCACTGAGTATGTGTGGCCATCCTAAATCCTGCTGGAAGGTGGGAAGCTTTCGCTGGAGGACATTCCACATCTCTCCAGAGACAAATTAAGAGTCTATCTGAAGAAAAGTATTCTCTCATTTAGCCTATAAGCTCCATGGGGGCAGGGGCTTGTTTGCCTCATGTAGAAACAGCAGTAAACAATTAAAAAGTGGGGAGTACACTGGGTTTGTAGCCAAGATTTAATCTTTATTAGCAGTATGCTGCTGGACAAATTATTTAACTTCTCTAAAACTCATTTCCCTTATCTTTGTATAGAGATTACAAATCAACCTGATTACAAGGTTGTCTTGAGAATTATATGAGATAATCCAATCCATGTGAGCCATTTAGCGCAATGCCTAATAGGGAGTTAAGAGCTTAATATTTGCTAGGTATAGTTACTATTATTATCGCAGATACATTCCCAACTCCTAGCACAGTATTTGACATGTAAGGACTAAATATCTATTATATGAATAAGGCAAGAAAGTATTGAAGAATCTAGCTGTGCTTTTTCTTCCCTCTGGTAATTACTTTTATTATTTTTAAAATAAATATTGGCTCATCAAACGTCTACTGCTTTTAGGTGTCAACATGATTGTTTTGGAAAAATCCTGAGTTTAGGCTCCTGGCTAATGGAAGGAAGAATGGCACTCTTTGTAGTAAGCTTCTAAATTTAAGAAACTCAATTGTAGTTTCTCTAGAATAATCGATCCAATGGTCATGGTCACAGACAAGAAGTGGTTAGGACGTATCTGTAGTTTCTCTAGAATAATCGATCCAATGGTCATGATGTTGAGTTCTCAACATCAGAGTGAAATCTCTCTTGAAATGGAATCCTCTGTGCCCCAAATGGCCCTCCTATATTCTAGATGGAATGCTTATTAGGAGTACAAATACAGAGTATCCTTTGCATTCAAAGAGGTTGGACTCTAAATATTTCATTTTCTCTCTATGATGTTTGACAAAAGAGGAATAAAAGCTCCTAGGATCGGCTAGGTCGCTGCTGCTATGACTCAGCCTCTAGAGCCTCTACTCTCAGCCAGGATAAAGTGATAAAGAGATACAGGATGTAGAGAGTGAGCCCTTAGTTGTCCAGGAAGCAGACAGTAAGGCCAAAGATACCAAGTCAAGGTCATCTGCAGCAGGGAGGATGGCAGAGCAGCCTCTCCTCTCTATTATGCTGAATTACTGTTTTCCAAAGAGATTACCATCTTAACATTGCCTAAATTACTGACTAGGTCAACAGTGGTTCTTGGAAAAGGAAGACATGGCAAGATGTGCTTCAGAGTAAAAAAGGGAGAATTTTTCTGATATTTGTTATCACCCAGCAAATTACAGAGCTAAAGAGGAAGCTGGAAACCTAAAATTCTCTCCTGCTTTGCTTCTGGTCAGGTCTACCCACAAACCCAAACTATCATACAAGCCATGCTGCTGGGGAAAAAAAAAGAGTGCCTACTTAACTTTCTAACTTCAGAATGTGTGGGTAGGACATAAAGAAGGCCTGATGTTCCACTGGTGGTAGCCTATAGCAATAGCAGCAGCAGTCACTGGCTGTCCTTTTGATAAGGAAAAAGACCTACCAAAAGAACAGACCAAATCAAACGGCATCTTCTCTACTTCCTAACTGCCCTTCTGCAATTCTCAACTCATTAGACCACTCTATCCTTATCCCATCATTCCCTTCAAATACATCTGGGGCAATCAGGAAGCTATAATATTTTTAGGGTAGTATCCAAGTATGAGATGTGCCCCCAAAGAGGGCTATTTTATCCCTAAACCCATGTCTTGCTTACATTTTCCTGTCACCAATGTTTCTGAGCTATAGCAATTAATGCCAGGATAGGGTGGCAACCACCAAATATTGTTTCCAGAAGAAAAAAAAAGTGCACTTGTAAGACTGCCTGAGAAGACAGGGGCTGATTAATATCTCTGTCTTGCTTCCAGTTTCTTTCTTTTCACCATTAGGGGATACTCAGAGACACTCAAAGCTTCTAACCCAAAAGCTTTCATTAACTTCTCTGAGATAACTAAGTGCATTAATTCAGAAAGAAATATCAGACACACCAGTTTCTTCCAATTATATTCTATGCAACTCTGTTAGGAAACAGAAGAATTTGACACAAAAACAAACAAAAAAATAGCAAAACAGGAAGGCCTTTCAATTCAGGACAAAAAATTTCAAATTAATGACAAACTTCATAAATTTAAGTACTTAACATTCAAATTTCTGTACGGCAAAAAGTAAGACAATATACAAAGTGAAAAGACAGATGATAAAATGGATTCAATGGAAAGATGGACAGAAAAATAGAGTATACAAATGTCCAATAAATCATATGAAAATGTTCTTAATCTCACTGACGGTAAGATAAATTCAAGTTAAAGTACCTATCCTCTTATTTTAAATCAGGAAAAATATCTAATGTCAATGAAAATGTGAAAAGCAAAATACTCTCAAACACTTGATGAGGGGATAAACTGGGCCATTCTTTTCCATAGCCGATTTAGGAATTATCTAACAAAAACTTTAAATTTAAGGATAAGATAGACTGACTCGTACTAAAGATGTCCAAAGATGACCAGAAAAAGTAGCTTGAAAAATAGGGTTCTTAGAGTATAATCCCAAATCGTGTAAAATTTTAAAAAATTTATACAAATATGCAACTATAGATATATAATTTATATGTTTACATATGCATAGACCATTTCCACAAGGATGTATAAGTAACCACTAATAGCGATTAACTCTGAGGAGTGGAACTCAGGAGCTGGCACGAAGAGAAGAGGAATTGTCCTTTCATTTTACACATTTCTGTATGGTTTTAACTTCTTATGGTATTCGTTTTCGTTTGACAATAAATATTTAAAATATTTAGTACAAAAGGACTGGGGATTAGCTGGAAAACCAATTCAAATATATATCTCAGAAAGTGACTTTTGAGCATATGAGAATTGGACAGTGGTGGCCAAGAAAGTCAAGCAAATGAGAAGACAATGAATTTTTAAAAGCTGAACATATTTTACCATGAGAGACTGAATACA